GCTCTTCCGGAGAGTTTCGGGAAATTAAAATTCTCTTACCGGTTGTGTTTCTCGCGCCAACGAATCTTAGGAGAGTGAATGAAGCGGGGGAGGATTTGTAATTAAGTGAGAGAGAGAGCGAGCGCGGGTGTGAAAGTGGTGTGACGACGACGACTATTATAATGATATCCGCAGAATGTATATACGTGTACATAGTTAGACCATTGTCGTTTCATCGAATTATTATCGTTTTAAGACGCGACACGCGATACATTAATTTATTTCATCGATTACGTTTTCATAGTATAATTGCGACCGCTGCGGGGATCGTGCAATATCGTCAAAGCTGCGCGACGATCAGCTTTCCTTTCTCTCTGTAAATATATATATCTTCCACGTTGCGCGTTCGGTTTCCCTTTTCGATCCGCGAAGATTTCCTTCTCCCGTAAAAAAAAAAAAAAAATAAAAAAATAAAAATAAAAATACCTCTCGGTCTGTGAAGGAATCCGGCTTTGCGCTTTCGGCGAGATAATCGCAGCGACCCTGAATTATCTCGAAAGATCGGCAGCGAAAGGCTGTCAACGTCGTGCGGTCACGTTCGGGTCAAGCCGACGATAAAATCGAATGGGATTCGATTCGCGTTAGGTGAAAGAGTCTCAGCCGTCGCGCGGCGAGCGCGTGAAAAGCACTCGCGAGTATTCAACGAAACGAATAAACGAACGTGCCGGCATCGAAGACCTTACATCGAAATTTCCGCTGAAGAAACGAAAGCTCGAGAAACGACTCGCGAAACGATTTCGCGAGGGGCACCGTACGCCCGTCGCCGGCGAGAAGCTTATCCGTTTTTCTGTTTTTTTTTTTGGTTTTTTTTTTTTTTTTTTTTTTTATCGTTTTTTATAATAATTGTATTGTTTTTTTTTTTTTTTTTGTAAGCCGGCGACGGGCACTTTGCGCGCGTTTCCGAAAATGATTTCCGATATACATATCTACCGATCTATTGTTATCGTAGTTTTTGACCGAGTCGAAGTAAAAAGTGTATTTCAAAATATGATACAGACGGACTCTTTTTTCTTCAAATTTCCTTCACCACCGCGTTCACCCATCCTATCGTCCTACAATTTTGTATTATTTAGAGAAGACATACCTGTGTTTTTATGTCAATTATATATTACTATATTATAAGCCGAGCAGAAGAAAAATATCAGGATTGGATTCTAGGACCTCTCTGTCAGCAGGCAACCACTCTGTCACTGAGTCAACCTTGTCACCTTCATACTACTGTATTTCCTCTTCTCGTTCGCATGCTTTTCCTCGACGTCTACAATAATCAAAATTGACAAAATATGTTGATATTTGAAAATTTGTTACTCAAAAATTACATTGCCATAGTGCCGAGTCACATACGCTATTTGATATACTTAACTCGATGTACTAAATATGAAATGTGCCTTCATCATATACGTACATATAACTTGGCCCGAGGCAGACGCGAATTTCCCTCCCGAGACTAGGTTTAATTAAATCTTTTGCAAATTTGCATATACGCACTTCCGTCAGTGAGAATGCTTTAGAACCCTTGACGTTACCGAGACCCCTGTGTAGAGATTCGTTTCTACCTACCTTATGTAGATCTGCCGCTAGTCCTCCCGAGATGACGATAATAATCTACGCAAAGACGTCTTGGAAAGAGCAAGGATACCGTCCAAAAAATAAGACACTAAGAGGAAAAGAAAATAAAATGTGAGTATCAACATCGAAAGAATAAAAAAGTTTTAAAAAATAATAACAAGAAAGTTACTGATAATAATAATTATATAACATTTTTCTGCAAAAAGAGACGACAGAATCTATTTCAAGTTATCTTAAAGATACAATTATAATTTTTTCTAATAATTAACGTCAAATTACACATTTACAATCATATCAATTATTTTAAAGACATTCGTAATTACGTCGATGTCTCGTTCTCGCAAGCAAGAAGTCGAAATTGGAAGGTCGTAGCGTACATCCCGGCCAAGTTTGATGCGGATTATGAAGTGGTCTGCGTATAATAAGTACCATACCTTTCTCACTCGATAACCGGAGTCGACGCGCACCATGGGCCGGTGTGTTTATCGCACACAGCCGAGGTAGAGGACGACGGGCCAGGACCTGATGGACATATGGTGGTTCGCGTCGGGTCGGACCGGTGGGACGGGAGGGGGGGGAGGGGTACCGACTCGTCGTTTATACGCGGTGCCGGCATAATGGAGTAGAGTGGAGTAGAGCACGGATAATGGAGTATGAAGAATAGCGTGCGGTGAATGTCGGGATAGAACCCCCCTTGCCCTTTCGCCCCCCGCGGCGGCGCTTCGTTTCTCTCCCTTTCTCCCTCCCCCTTCCCCCGCCCTTCCTCCGGCCGTTTCACTCCCCCTCCCCCTCCCGCGAGGACACCCGCTCTCCACCGACCGGGGTGGCAAACTGGACACGGCTCGTTGACTCGAGCGAGCAGTTGTTGGCCATACCGATTTATCGTATCCCGCAGCCACGCCGCGTTACAGATTCCGCGTTAAATCCACGAGATTCCGTCGTCCTTCCGCGCTCTTTTTTCTTTTTTTCTTTTTTTTTTTTTTGTTTTTTTTTTTCGTCCTCGTCGGTGTCGTCGGGGACGATATATATCGCTACCTCGAACAAAGAAATACCCGGGGTGAATCTCGAACGTCGAGAACGCTTTTGTCGGCGACTTCCTGCATTTCCTGCATAATGAAGAGCGATAATATAATTTATAACGCGGTCGAGACCTAGCCTTTCTCGATGGAAAAAAGAAATGAAACATGGAGGAGCAGTGGGGTAAGAGAAGAGGCTCGCGGATGTGCTGTAAATTTTATTTACAACGCACAAAGTAGTTTATGAGGAAATTCCTCGAGCCCATAACTTGAAAGCAATCGATCGATAGAGATATTGGATTTTTATTTTTGCGGTTACGTTATTAATATAAATAATAGCAATCGTACACCAAAATTTCTGATATATCTTTCCTCTTAAAAAGAATCAGAAAGTATTCATTGATATTACCTATACTTTTTCACATAATTGATCTAATTTGTGATTGGTGTATTATTTAATCATTATATTAATGAGACGATTGTTGTTGCGAAAACACATTCTGCTAATTTCGGCGTGTAAAAATTAGGGACGATAAAGCACGAAGAAAAAATGCCCCAGAGCCCCACATACTGGTCGGATCGAATGTGCGTTGTACACACGTACGCACATCCCCACATCTTTTCTACGCATCGAGCGCACGTGGCGTTCCCCGTAAACGTTCGCTTTGGTCGGCGACGGGGGCGGTGCGGGGGAAGGGGGGGTGTTTCGTGATGGCAGCGAGGGGGTCGCGGTGAGACGAAACGACGTGGTCGTTACACGCACCGGTCACTGCCACCCCCGTGGCTATCGCCGACACGACCCCCCCTCCCCCTCCATGCAAAATCACCCTTTGTCGCGCTCGATGGGAAATTACTTTTTGTCCGTCGATTACGGGGTGAATTTTCGGACGACGAGACCCGATCATTTCGAACGAGATACGGCTCCGGTTCGAGATATCGCCGGAAATCGCAGTCTCGTTCTTGTGTCCTTCTCTTTCTGCCGCGATTTTTGCTAAAACAAACGAATTATAATTTCTTCCAATTCTATTATTATAAAATCAATTGTTTGGGAACGTGAGCCATTCGTATCTCTGGTACAAAATTTATCGGATTTGTTGCGAAACGTTTGCGAAAATCTCTTGAAAATTTTAATTCACATAAGTATTATGCAATTCTTATATCGTAAAAAAATCGCGCGTGAAACTGTTAGACAGAGAGCACGATATTAAATTCCACGCCGATTCGTGCATCGCATGGTGATGTCTGGAAATAAGAGACTTGACGAAGTGTGCCCGCGGGGCCGCCAGTCCTTGATTACCAAGATCTTCATCTACATGCTAAACATCGTTCCACGGTACCGTCTTGAATACTCTTGTACTTACGTATGTATCTAGATCCACGGCCCGCGGATCCTCTCTCTATTCCCCTCCCCTTCATCCCCGTGCGCGCGTATTCTCTGGTACAGAGCCTGAATATATTCCACCCTCCTCGATCTCCCTGACACCGCGTGAAACACATTCCCGTACCCATCTATATGATGTTTGCTTAGATTAAATTAACCGACCGTGAAGCCGTCCTTTGTTCTTCGTGCGGCGCGGCGGAAACGCAGACACGCCGAAAGGAACGGAAAAAGAGACGAGGAACGTCGGGAAAAAAGCTTGCACGGAGATTCCGGGAATCTCTCGCGAGGTTCAGATTGCGAGGTAAAATTGCATTTGCGACGATTCAGATATTTAAATACAATGATGTTAATAATAATTCTCTGGTGGCGAATCGCATACCATTTCCTTGGATGTTTTAAGCGCAGGAAAGAAAAAAAAAATCTGGACAGTAAAAGTATATATTTTTTTTTTATTATAAAGTGTGATTTTTTTTTTATATAAAGTGTGATATTTTTTTTTTTTTTTTTTTTTTTAAAAAAACTAATAAATTCTTTAGAGAAGGCGCCATCTTTCTCAATGGCAACTAAGCGTACGAGCGGTTTCTTAAAAGACGCTTGCCGGCGGCGCAACTTCTTTAAGAAAATTTCCTTATTCTTTCTTTCTTACCGACTCGTTTCGCCCCAAGTTCAATAGCCCAAGTTCACCCCCTATCTTACGTCGATCCAGTAGCAAATATATAAACTAAAAAGATATATTCTTTGAAACGATATACT